CGATCTTCAACAAAACATCACCCGTCTCCAGGGCAGGCGACTGGAAAAAGACACTGGTGTTCGGTCGAAACGGCGGAAACAAAATCGTCACTCCCAGAATAACTATGCAAAATAACGATCTAAAGTCGAACCATTCGAGCCACAATATTAACGTCGGTATAATCCGCCATTTTATTTGAGTGTGTTTGCCACCCAACTCCGCCCGGTGACTTCATCATGTGCGCTATAGAAGGAGGTATGTGATTCGTTGACTAAAATCGTCGATAGTGGGTCTCGTTGAAATCTCGTTACATAGGCATCGGCTCAGATGTAGGTAGGGCGGAATTAAAAAAATCACAAAATCAAAATCAAAGTAAAATAATAAAATAAAATAAAATAAAATAAAAGGGCATTAATAACAAAAGTAATAAAAAATAAAATTAAAATAAGTTTATAGCCAAAATAATTAAAGCCCGTACACTACATCAGATTTTAATCAGATTGATGTATATTTTACTTGATGTAATTTCCTGTTTGCAACTCTCTTCATCCCATATCATACGCCCACTCATTTTTGTCACGTTTTGCTATAAGTTTTTTTGCTGTCTGTTTATTTCTTCTTTTTTTTTTTACAGGATCTCATTTGCTATTAAATGGCAAACAATTAAGCAATATTTGTTTACCCCCTCCACTGTGTTTTTTTAAAAATGGGTAAAAGTACCCTTTTCCCAATCAAACTTGAACCCCTCCCTGTGTGTATGTAATGGTTGAGTCCTTTGATTGTTACCATGGTGAGCCACACCTTAGTGAATTCCTCATCTGCATATGTATAGGCTTTTGAATGATTGGGACCTCATTATCATTTTCTGGAATTTTCCATGTTGATTTCAACCTGATGTCATTCACAGTTCAGGCGGCAACTGAATTCAGTCACCCTTTGGATGTAATCCCTCCCTGTCCTTGCAATTTGTTGACATCCTGACAGCCGTTGACCTGTACAACATATGTGATATTCCAAATGAACATACTGACCTGATTAACTCGCTGCACATCTCACTGCAATTGCAGTAGTACTGTTTACCATTACAGTTACACAGCATATATTCAACAGGGAAATTATTACAATTTTCATTTCCTCCTTGTCAATGGGAAAACTATCAACGGCGGCAGCCACCAAAACCAGACGTAGCTCTCTCAAACATGAGAAGAAAACTATAGAGAATGCTGCTCGAAAGCCAGAAAAATATGAACTGGCTACGGCTTTGGAAAAATTGCTAAAATGGAATTTCTCTGATCTTCTTTGCAGTGCTTCAGGTGCTAGCGTGGGAGCGATTGATAATAAAATTGAACAAGCTATGGTGAGTATTGTAGATTTCATTTCTATCATGCCATTTAAATTTACATGCTTTTTATGCTGTGTTTGTTGACAGTTATGTAAACAAACATATTGACACATGACATTCAAGCTCATTAACTGTTTGTGGTGCTGAAAAGGAAGACAATTTAATTGTGAATAGGATTGATACTGATTCAATCTACTGTCTATAATTCTTGTTTTTATTCTCTACCTTTTAAAAGGGTTATGTAATCTTGTGTGCATGTGTTAAATTATGTAATGTTGTATTTTATGACCCTGCTATCTCAGTACCATGCATGCAACCATGGATGGGTATAATCAGTGTCAACCTTCAAACACATTGATTTATTCCATTTTTTATTGGTGTTTGCTGCAGTCTCGCTTTTTGTGTTAATTGTTAGCTAATATTGCATATTTTTTTAAACGATTTATTGTATTTTTAGCATTTTTGACAAAAACTTGATTGCAAATGCATCATGCTTTATAGTCTGGTAATCATGATTTGGTTTCAAGCATTGTTTATATTGGGACTTTTGGTTAACAATTACCAATTCTTAGATGGCAGATGATAAAACTCCTGTGCAAATCATTTATATATATATATATTGGAAAGAATTCTTTTTGTACCCCTGACCCTAACTTAACTCCCAGCCCTCCTCCCAATTCAATTGTCTGTCCCTTTAGATACTGTAAAATGAATAATTTTCACTGGGTTTAAATTTCGCTGATTTACCATTTCAGGCATATTCAGTGGGTTTTAAATTCACGGTTTTATCATTTAGATAATGTGTAGTATGCTAAATTTTATATATTCACTGGGTTTTAATTTAGCGCATTTTCCAGTCAGCGAAATAAACAAAATTAAAACCCAGTGAATAATTAAACCTTTCACAGTAAAAGGTGTCCTTAAGGAAGGGCATATACATTAAAATGAGGATTTTACAGTTTTGTAAAGATTAATAGAACTTGCATTTCTGTTGATTGCATAGCAGGACGTCAAAGTTGGCTGTTGTTGACGTCATATACTAAGCATTTTCAACCGTCATTGCCTGCGCAACAACTTGTTTTCCTGGCTATCTAAAAATAACTTGTTTATATGGTGGTATTTTTAGCTTTATTACGCATATGTATATTTTCCCCTTTGATATTTTATCCCTGTCTCAATCAGGCAGCCAACAGACGGCCACTGTGGTTTATAACTTTCCTCTAAAAATAAATTCATGACCAATGTCTTAAAAATCCCACTTATGTACCACCAGCCTATATTATTTCAGCTACTTCAATACGCCATTGTGTACATGCATGTACATCCACGTAATGTGTGGTCTGATTATAGTATTAGAAGTGAACACAAAATGAATTATATGTACATTTTGCAATTAATCAAATTCATTTGAATAAAAGGAAATAAAAGCTTTGTAAAAAAAATTAAATGTCAATTATCGTGTACAGCATTAGAGAATCATTTCTGAAAAACAAACACTTAATTGACTTGGATTTTGACAATTATATTATTGATATTACTTGGTAATCATTCGTGCTCATTTTTTGAGAAAGATTCTGGAATGACGCCTACAGTAATGTTGTATTACCAGTAGCTACAAAATCCATTTCTTTCCTTTATAACCTGTGCACATTGCATTCATGCTGTGCTTTATTCATAATTCACAAATACCAGATGATCATCAGTGAGTCACTGTGAAAACAGATAATTACCCACCACTTAGAAGCTATATTTTATGAGTCCATACTTAATAATAATAATATAATAATATTGTGTCGCTTAAGAATTTCTGCCCATTGTCTACGTATTGAAACTGATAGAAAATTCCATAATACACGCACAGAAAGTTTGTGTTTTATGTAATACCAATTGTGTAGAGGACGAGTACCATTTTTGCATTATCTGTCCGTTTCACCAAGAGTTGAGATCTAAATACATCCCAAGTTATTATTATACACTCCCCTCACCCGAAAAATTTATATCGCTATTACAATTACAATTACAAAATGCAGTAATCTTGCGTGATATTTCTAAATTTATTTTTATCTCCACAAAAAAACGTAATACAATTATTTTGGGCTGACAGTTCATGTTCTTTTCATATTTTCTTGTTCTTTTTCAGTCACTGTAAAATGACATTGTCCTCTGTAATTACATGAGTATACCTTGAGGCCAGAGGCCTACAGTATTATGAATAAATTTATTAAAAATTCATTAAAGTAATAATATTGACATTATGCATTGTCTAGTTTTGATAAACTTCTATGGGCCACACCACCACACCCCACCCCACCCAACATGTATTGTATATACATGTATGCCACTGAAAAAAAGTAATTTTCCTGTCCATTGTTTTGAAAAGATTGGCTAGGGCTGCAGTAGGATGTTGGGCATGTAATAGACAATGAAGCAGTGAACATAGGTGATAAATGTATTGATGATTTAGCTGGAATGATGCAAAAATAACAAAAAATACTAGTGACTAAAGTATATCAATAATTCAACAGTGTCTACATTCAGTGTGTACAAAGTCTGGAACATCCCAAATGAAATGAATGTAGGGATGTTTTGTGTGTATACAACGCTCATTGATGAATTAGCTTCTCTCATTCATTATAACTTCAGTCGTATTATTATTCTTTCATTACATGCATTATTAAAACTAATTTATTTCTTATTAATGAATGACACCCACGTCCATCTTTCGTATACAGTTTGCATCATTTTGTGATTTTGCCCGGTCAGTGTCCTCTGGTAACCTTGTTTGCAAGGATGTGGAATTCCATTCAATGTTGTTTGTCGAGTACTCGCTCTCAATGCTTTATTGAACTTGTTATTGAGGGACGAAGGGGCTGTGGTCAATGCAATGACCATACAAGGACATAGCTAATTGGCATGGCATTGAAAATATCTTCTTGTAATTGATTTTGTCGATTCAATTCCTCAAACAAATTAATCTACATTGTGATGTGACAATTATTTCCCGTTAGACAGGTATTCAAAATTTGTTCAAAATATTAAATAAACTGTTATTGGGCGCTTTATTATTTTATTTTTTGTATTATACTAACTAATGTTCTGCTTGATTTGTCACATCACTATTAACTCTTCATTATTCATTTTTAATAAGAAATGAAATATTTGAGACAACACTTATCTAATTGTTAATTTGCTTGCATTGACATAGGACCTTGTGAAAAGTCACCTTATGTATGCTGTGAGAGAAGAAGTAGAAGTACTGAAGGAGCAAATAAAGGAACTGTTGGAGAGGAACTCTCAACTGGAGAAGGAAAATACATTGCTACGACAGCAACAGGTACAAGTGGTAACTGCTCAACAAACCCCAGGGCCGGTACAGCAGCAGCAGCAGCAGCAGCAGCAGCCACCAACAAATCCAGCTCAACAGCAGCCCCAAATGCAATCGACAGCAACACAGTCAAAAACGCCAGTAGAGCAGCCAAGTTTAATAGTAGCAACACAGTCAGCTACGCAGTCATAGCATAGACTTGTGTGTAGATAGAAATGTAGCTGTAGTTAGGTAGATACAGATTGTACATAAAGGGAACATTGGGAGCACACAGATTAAACTCTCCCTTCCATTGAAGTAATGCTACTTTGCTTATCAACTTAATTCATCACATGCTGCTACTTCTGCCAATCACTCTGTGCATCTTCCTGAATGTTTTCTGTGAACTAAGTAGCAGCAGCAAGATGGTTGTAGATACTTATTTATCAAGTTGTGTACTTTTTCCGTTGAATTGGTCACTTAAGTCTGTGTGCTCCAAATGTGAGAAGTTGTGAGAAAACAAATGCTTAAAATTTTACAGAGTGATTGTATTTTTTGAACCTTTTTTGCAATGGGGAAGGGGGAGTGAGGAGGCTGAATAATTTCTTTTGAAGTTTCTTTAATATTACAAGAAAATGGGTGTCATAGAAGTCAATTTTGGAAATTATTTAATACATTCAGGGTATTATGCGTTTGCAGTTTGAGATGGTACACCATTTGTTGATGGTTGGGGGAAACCATGTGTACCTCTCACCAGTCGTAGCATTATAAACTATAGAATTTGGACGGTAGATGTTAGAAATTAAGACGTGACATTATTTCTGGCTAACAAAGCAACTTTGTTCATGTAAATATATTATGCATTTAAAATGTTATCCAGAGTTCCAGATTGAGTTCATCTTGTGGAAAGTCATCCGTCTCCAGTTACATTTTTTTTTAAAGACTATTTTATTATCCCTGTAGTAGTTGATTAACGTTGTGCCTTTCCAGTTTTTCAAACATTGTGTGTGTCACCTGTGTGATGGTTTGCCATGTGACACTTGACAAGCGTTGTGCGTAATTTCAGCATCTATTGCTCGCATTTTTCTGAAATCAGCAACATTAGTGATGTAGTAAATTCTTTTCATTCGCCAGAAAGTGAGAAAGCAATAATTTAGCAGCATTCAGTCTACACACGTCCATTAGTTGTTAATGCAAGTTGTACTTTTCTTCCTTGTGAGGCCAATGTTTAGATCCAGTTAACATGTTCATAGGAATCTGTACACAGTCCAGGATGAAAGAAACACAGTTAATTTCTTAAATTCTGTCAAGCTTTTAGTCTATTTACAATGAAATTCAAAACTATGTGTCTGAGCTTTGTAGGTAAGTAACATTAATAATATTGCAAACTACTATATGGTATAGAGCCTTTCTGAAAGTAAAGTATTTACTTGCAGCACTTTACACATGAAATCCTTAGTCTAAGAATTTATCAAGGCATCCCATTCAGATGCTAATTTAACTAGGAATTTAAATTTGTACTTTTTAGCCGTGTCAATTTTCGATGTTAATTTCAGCTACCACCTTGTAAATAGTTTGCTTACAGTAAATATGCTGTTCCCCTCTCCCTTTACAGTCTGCTGCTTCTTCACCTGTAGTATAGGTGCCACCCTCTATGCTCCATAGATGTAATAAAATTATTCATTTTTTTTAGTCCCCTTGTAATATATGTCCATAATCCTGAGCTTTTGTTGCAATAAGCAATAATGAAAAGCAAGATATTTCAGAACTCAAATTTTGTTTTTGCTGTAAAGAAACACCGTTTAGAATTGTAGTATTGATAGAATGTTTAAGAGATTTACTCAATGTTTTATCATAAAGGTGCTAGAATTTGAGTGGGCCCTGCACATAATTTTGTACAAGTGATGCACATGTTTTTCACTGCTTTAGAATGTTTCTTGGAGGGTGAGGGTGTGTGTGTTTAAGTGATCAATTTATTGTGCAGGTACTAATATACAAAAATTCAGAGTATATGCAAGAAACTTTCTTTTTTATTCTGCCAATATGTGCTGTGTAGAAAGCTATTCTCTTTCCTTAATGTTGCATTTGTGTCTCAAACTGAAGGAGATGACACTTTATACAGCAGTACATCAAGGCAGTGAGAGCAGCAGACATTTTCGTGAACTTTGCAGTAACATTTTTGCAGGGATTTCAAAGCAGTATTTTCTTGTAGCTGGTTAACATTTCAAGTTGTCTTGGTGCTGTTAATTTACTTGAAGAGTGCCTGCTGCACATAGTGATCTCCACAATTTTGCTTTGTGAATGTCCCCCCATTAACAAAACAGAGGGGAAGTTTATTGCTCTATCTAGTCTTTGCTAATGAAATCACAAAATGAAACCGAAGTACTTTGTGGAAGCAGTTCATTGGGAAAAAGAAACATTGATTATAATCCTGGTAGCCATGTTATAGTCTGATCAATCAAGTAGTCTTGGATTACTTAGTGTGCTGATGCACAGGAAAAAAAAAGCAAATTCCTGAGACGTTTTGAATTTAGAAATAACAATTTGGTAGGGGGCACACTATTGTTCAGTTTCAAAGTTATTCCATTTTACCCCTTCATAACCATTAGAGAAGTAATGATAATTGTTCGCTGTGATTTTTCTGTATCAGAAAATCTTTAATAATATTGTGATGAATGCCACTAACTTGATAAGAAAAGCGATGTTATATTTTTTAGTGACTTGTGAATGCTATGCTGTTGAAGTTTTTTTTTCCTGAAAAATTAAATGAGAAAAAAAGAACGCCTGCCAGGCTCAAGATTGCCTTGAAAACCTAACAATTGTTTGCGTATGACTTATTTCATGTTGTGAAATGTGAGGCTCCCTGAAGTTTTAACTTTTTAAACAATTGTGCAGTCCCCCCCCTCCCGATATCTGCACACTTGAACCTTGTAACACAAGATGCTGATCCATTGGTGTGGTTGTTAAAACTGAAACAGCATTGCTCAGAGTGGCTTGCAAGTGGATTATATTGACTAGTTTGGTGCCTTGCCCTTTTGTGTTTGATTGCAAAATGCGTCTGAACTGCCCATAATTCTTAGTTAACTGACATCGTGTGTGGAAGGATTCAGGAAACTTGCATGCTTTCGACCTGGAGATCAATATGAATAATTTCAAGTTAAAGCGCCATCTGTGGTAATGTACAAAAACGAAAGATTTTTCAAATTTGATCTTTGGTAATTTAAGTTTGGTGAAAAAAAAACATTACTAAAAAAAATGGTCTAATGTATGTATCTTTTCATTTCTGTTGTGTTGTGATCTAAAATTGATTGCAAAATTCGTATCTGTTATCAAAATACTGCATCAATACTTGATGGTAATTGTCTACGCGAGTTACTTCGCCCTCTATGGTGGCTCAAACAGAAAATGTTCTACCGTTGAGGGCGCAACAACTATTTCAGATACTGGTTGCACGAAAGGTTCGTGATATAAACTGGGAGTATAACAACGTTCTTCCCTATTGCGTTTTGTTCGTAGTCAGATACTGGATGCACGAAAGATTCGTGATATAAACTGGGGGTATAACAACGTTCTTTCCTATTGCGTTTTGTTCGTAGTCGTTAGACTTGTTTCAAACTGCAATAACGATTCAAGCATAGTGACTGTGGTCACATCCATTATCTTTTAGTCAGCCCAATGCTAAAAGGTAAATCGAAACGTCTTCAGGGACTCGTGGACATTTCCTTATGACCGGGGTGTTTGGAACTCAATGAAACTAGGGAGATAGATGCTTCCAGTTAATCCACATATCTGATTACTTCAGGGTTGAAATCCATGTATATTAATTATCCTCCTTGTATAATCGGGGTCATGTGATATTGAGTAATATTCCAATATTAAAGACAAGTCTATACATTGTAATGATTTTGTTTGCCATAATACAGTATTCCTCGTTTGTACCTCATGCCCGGGCTCATGCCTCCGATACCTTCAACACGGGAGTTCTTTCTAAGGTTTCTTTGAATATTTCTTTTTGTAAATCTTTCAGGGCAACTGTTTTCAAAAGTATAAATTTGCAGGAAATTTATTCACATGACATTGACAGTGAAGAAATGGAGCACAAAATAGTGTGATATACGGTACTAGTAATTGCCAAGAGAATTTGGAAATTGTGATACCCAGAAAAATTTGGTACCACTATTGGCAACTTTTATTTTGTGTATGGTTTAGATTACCTTGTCTTTTGGCAATCTAATTTATGTTTTCGATGGAATCGATCATCAACAGTGACAATGCTTGGCCATGTCAAATATCATGATTGTGATAATATACCGGTATAGTATACAGTATATAATATATTGCAATCACCTACATGTATTTTGAAATTAAACATGGAACATAGTTGACCATTACACCTTTACATTACAGTTTGGATTTCAAGTAGTGTTTTTAATTGTAGCAAACTACCTTAAGCCCAATTTTGCCATGCTAACGTGATTACATCTGTTTTTTCTTTTATGTTGTCTTAAAGTTATGCGGGTGACACAGAGAAACAGCTGTGAACACGCTAATAAATAGCTGGAGTATTTCTTGGAATTTTCTCTGAAAGCAGAATACTAACTTGGTTGTTATCATACGGTTAATGGAATATGTCTTCAGTCCAATGACTCGATTCCTAATATACATCCTCCAGGGGTAGAATAAATACTATTCAATGCAGGGTCTTGGTTTACACCCTCTAGTGGCAAGAATTGGAGACTATTTCATAGACTCACACCTTGTCCCATTGGCCTTTTGTGTGAACTCTATCCAGGGGTAAGCAATCACAGGACAAAATATTGTTCCTCCAAAAATAGTTTCATTTTTTCCTGTTGATTCATGTAACCAAGGTAACAATCCGGCATCTTTATTACAAGCACTGGTTGAATGTTTTAACATCTGCAATAGTGTTTCAGATTGATAGGCGTGCATTGTTAATGAGGTCACATGACCACACATGGTTATTAAGTATAAACATGGAACTATAAACCCATAGTTATAGTTCCATGGTATAAATGATCAGATCGTGTCAAATAGCTTTAATAAAACGTTGAATGTTTTTCAGAGGTTCTCCTGACACGTCTTTGTACGAACAGACAATGGTAACCTCTATATACTTCGCCAGCAATATGTGCCAGGGGATTATTTCAGTCAGATTGCAATGAAACACTGAGGGGTAAACAATTTTGTTACCCCTCTTTTCTTGATCCCAGTGACCATCTGAGGTCCATCGACAAAATATTCTGTGCACCTTTGTGTCAGCTATGCAGATTCTGGTGTCAATGCAATCTCTGGTCCATGCCCTAGTGAGTCAGTGAAGGCAATAATTAGCCACAAAAACAACACACATTAAATTATTTGATGGTATGATTTTACCAATTTTTGGTTACGGATCAGAGATATGGGGACATCATAGGTATCTAGTAGAAAGAGACCAGTTAAAATATTGCAAAGCTTTTTTAGGAGTTAAGTCTTCCACACCTGACGTTGCAGTACTCGGAGAGTGGTAGATACCCTATATATAATTATACAGTCAAAAGGTGTATGAAATACTGGCTAAGACTATTAACCATGCATCCAAGTAGAGTTGCTAAGCAAGCTTATAAACTTGCGCTCAATCTTGATGAAAATGACAGGTCATGGGCAACAAACATAAAATCTATTCTTTTTGAGTTTGGTTTTGGTGAAGTGTGGTTTTGGCAGGGTCCTGGTGACCCTGAAGCCTTTCTCTGTCAATTCATGTCAAGGGCAAATGATATTTTTAGACAAAATTGGAGAGCGAAGGTGTGTACAAAAGACAAACTACGTACATATTGTAATTTCAAAATGCTATTCCAGAGGGAAGATTATTTATTAGTAATGTTAAATTGAGAAGAACATTATCATGCTTTAGATGTTCCAGTCATGTATTGGCAATAGAGGGCGGCAGGGTCATGGGGCTTGACATTAATTATAGACTTTGTCAAGTCTGTGACACGATGGAAGTAGAGGACGAATATCATTTCATTATGATATGTCCTCTATACGAGATGCTTAGAAAGCGACTCATTCCCATTTGGTCTTATACAAATCCATCTGTAAATAAGTTTTATTCTTTAATGTCATGTGATGAA